CTGCTCCAGCAGCAGTCTCTGTCTGTGGGGGGTCTCAGCGGGGAGCTGGGGGACACACCCCCACCGTGGACAGGGGTTGCTCCCGTGAAGTAGCCCCTGTCCATGGTGGCCTGTGTTGGCCGCAGGCAGAGGCTGCTCTGGCAGCAGCCCCTCTCCATGGGGGATCCCAGCTCTTACCTGAGCCCTGCACCTCCAGCTCTTACTACTTTAAACTGCAGAGCACTGCGGGGGTAGCTCCTGGCCCCGGCATAAACTGGGACTGAGCAAGCCATCCCTTATCAGCTAACCATGTAGTCAATACAACTTTTATTGGCTACATGATTAGTGAATTACTCTCCTCTTAACATCCTTAATTTAAACCTGTTTTGTGCCCTCCAGATCTTAATAATATAGGAACCTGTTGATTTAGTCTTGCTGATATTGGGGCTTAATTCTCATGCAATCTGCCATATGATATTTTCTCCTATTTTACAGTGGGAAAAGGTTTAGGAAAATGTTATCTGAGGAAATGTTTACGAAAATCTGGAAATACTTTGTCTTGAAAAGAGAAGCGTAAAGGGGATATAAGTCTTCAAATGTATAAAGGTCTGTTATAAAGAGGATGGTGATTGGTTGTTCTCCACTGAAGTGACACATGAAATAATGGGCTTAATCTGCAGCAAGGGAGATGTAGGTTAGATATTAGAAAAATCTTTATCTACAAAGCTAGTTAAATTCTGGTAATACGTTACCAAGGGAAGTTGTGGAATACTTATTGGAGGTTTTTAAGAATAGGTGGAACAACCTCCTTTCAGAGATGGTCCAGGTTTATGTGGTCCTGCCTCAGAGCAGGGGTGATGGGTGAATGATCTCTTGAGGCTCCTTCCACCCTGACACTTCTATGATTCTGTGATAGTCCTATTTAAGACTTCTGCTGTTTTAAGATCAAGTTCATAGGTATCTGTGATTGAATCAACAATTGCAATGCAACCGCCTTGCTCTACTACATTTAAAAGGCAGAGGCGCAGCACGGAACCCCGGTGACTCTTACTACATTTAAAAGCACAGGTGCAGCATCTGGGACTGGGTGCGAGCTGGGACAACTAAGTCCCAGCTCGTGCCCAGTCCCCTGCTGCACCTTTGCCTTCCCTATCCCTCTGCAGAGGCGGTGCCAGGGGGAACCTGCTTTCAAGCCAGCTCCCACTAGTTCCTGCTCCCTCCGCCCCTTGCTGCCTCTGTCAGAGGCAGAGAAGTGACTAGTCAAGTAGTGACTTGACTAGTCACTTACATCCCAAATTTGTACTCTCCATCCAGTCGAATTACTGAGTATATTCTTCACTTAGGCATGTTTCTTTTTAGTATCCGTGTAGTAAGAAAAGTTAATGTGAACTTACACTGAACATAAACAGATTTGTTAATGAGTTTTTTCTTCCTAGGAAAATACTGTGGTCTGGGCTTTCCAATGGACAGTTTAATCGAGTCAAAAAGTAATGAAGTCACAGTACAGTTCATGAGCGGGACACACATTTCTGGTCGTGGATTTCTTGCCTCATATTCAACCACTGAAAAATCAGGTATTTGTCAGATTTAGTTGGTTATTCAGCATAATGATTAAAGTTAGACCTGTATGATGAGTACAAACTTTTTTTTCTGTGTTCTCAACATAAACAGTGGATATCTAAAAATACAAACTCTTACATGTCATCTTAACACTTCTCAACTGTCCTGCCCCCTAGATGCACTAAGTTGTCATTCAGGGTGGGTTAAGGAACGAAACACATGAAGCAGCTGCTTTAGATAGAAGATTAAATACGTTGTTTGGAGTATAAAAACCAAGATGTTAGATGAAAGATTTTTAGAGTAGATCATAGTAATGTGGCAGTACTATGGAATTCTGATCTCTTTCTCTCTCTCTCCGCCCCCCCCCCCCATTCATAGTCTCCTGTAATCTCTATAACTGTTGCATTTTTCTGTTGTGACACACACATATCAGTTCTATTTTTTCTGTCTGATTTAATCCATGTTACCTTGTCCCTGCAGAATCTTATGACTAGAGCCCAGCTTGTGGCTTCTTGTTTGTTTTTCTGCAAACTGCTTCTTTGTTCATCTTTCTTACTTTTATCGTACTGTGGCCTGAAATGGAGACTGCTATACCTGATCTTCCTCTTTCTTTATATTTGATTCTACTTGTGTTCCACCTAGACATCATTAAAAGTGGATGTAGAACTATGTGTGATCCTTTAGTTTTCTGTGGACCACCAGCAAGTATTTTGCTGGCCATATTTTGAAAATCTCATGGTTAGGATTGATGCTACAAAAACGTGGATGAGGTCGTCTTTTCATTCTAAATTTTCATTCTGTGTGTTAAATTTGTGCAAGTTAAATTAATGTGTATTTAAACTTGATAGCTCAGACTGACAGAAATAAACATGTCAAATTTTGATAATGTGGGAAAGGCCGTCCTATGCTTTGTACTTCATCCTGCTCCACATGTGCAAGGTGCAAGTGTTAAAACTCAAAACTCTTATGTAGCGTACTGATTTCATCCTCTCAATTCGGTTTCCTCTTGTAAGCAGAGAATAGGAAGTTCTGACTTAAAACATGCTAGAGTGCACTTATAAGCATTCTGTGAAGCAATACTGTAGATAATAAAAATTAAATTATGCAATATAAATGAACAAGAACAATTTTGTTATGAAGCTTCCGAGGGGTAGCTGAGTTAGTCTGTACAGGATAAACTTAAAAAACAACAATAGTCTGGGTAGCACTTTAAAAACTAACAAAACATATAGATGTTTTGTTATGATGTAACCTTAAATTTGTAAAGTTTACATGTTAAATTCTCAGTGGGTTTCCCAATCATTAGTACAAATTATCAAGGTTCTACTGTACTAAATTCACAGCTAGTATGTTATTTATCAGATATGATGTTTACATTTTGAGGGTTTTTTATTGAACCACACACAGAACTGATGAGCCTGAGAGATTCAATTTGATGGTCTTCATGTATTTTCTAAAAAGTTGGCTAACATCACTTGTCTCTACCTTCTTCCTGACTTAATTTTTTTTTTCTTTCCAGACCTAATAACCTGTTTAGATAATGCAAGTCACTTTTCTGAACCAGAATTCAAGTAAGACCGATTTGCTTAGTTTCTCCCCGCTTCACTAGATGGTTATTTTAAAGTGGTTTTATTCAAGCTGTTACACAAATCATCTTCCACTATGTCACTTGTTTCGAAGAGAGTGCTTTGGATGGCAAAATCTAAATGATTAAATAACAATCATAAGTTGTGACCTTATTGTTACCAAAAATGAAGATAATTGTTTTATTATGCAGTAGAACCTCGCTAATTTGCAATAAATTCACACACTGAAAAACCAGCAGTGTTCCCACTTTCCAGCCAAAAGTTAATGGTGCTAATGAGCACTCATAGCACTAAGAATTCATTGCTTTTACAAAATAGATTACAAAATGTGCATTGCTTAAAGGGGAAATACACATGTCATCCCAGGTGATAGTACTTTTCTGAAACTGTTTACAGTGCTAGTGACCACCATCACGTCTCCCATACACACTGCTTTTTCATTCCTGGAGGAGGTGTGGTGACCACTCCCCCACGGCCCTTAAACATACTATGGGTGGCTACAGTATCTGTCATAACTTAAATCTAACATTTATCACGATAAAAGCACATTTTGTGATGCATTAGATCTTGATTTTCTATTATTCACTTACTAATTTGTAAATTAATTGCCATTGGCCTCACAATTGGTGTAAATTAACGAGGTTCTTCTGTGATGTAATAGACAGTTGTGTTCATTCTTATGAATGGTATACAAGCCTGGACATCAAGATACACTTATTTGGGAAAAACATGTATTATTTAAAGCTAGAAGGTATTGTAAAGCCAATAAATTAATTTGGGTTACAATACTTACATTTTGGAGGAGCTGTAAACTCATGGCATCCCCACTCTTTCAAGATTTAACCTTTGCAATCCCCACATATTCCACATTAAGGCCCCAATGAACCATTTGCCCATTTATTCAGCAAAGTCTTTAAGCACTTGCTCAAGTCCTACTGACTTTATTGGAATTTGGGCACATGCTTAAGTATTTTGCTGAATAGGGGGCCTAACTGATACCCATGTATTCCAACTTTCTTCCTCAAGTTTTTGCTTATTTGCAGTAGAGAGTGGCACTAGAAGGTGAATATGTACTTTCATCAGAAATACAGCTATCTTGCCTCCTGCTATGCTCTAAAATAGGGATGTAAGCGACTAGTTGACTGTCCGATAAGCATAAGCTTATCGGAGAGTCGACTAGTGATGCGACTAGTTACTCCCCCCCCCCACTTTGCTGTCTCTATCAGAGAGGCAGCAAGGGTGGGGAGTAGGAGCCAGTGCTGGGGAAAGCCAGCTCAAAAATCGGTCCCCACCCCCAGCACCGTCTGCACAGTGGGCAGGGGATGCAGAGGCTAGCGGGGATTGATACAGTCCTGCTTGTGCCGGTCGCACTGCTGCTTCTCTCCCTTTGGAATGTACACAAGCCGCCTGCGACTCGTGTACATTTCAAAGGAAGAGGCACAGAGGGGAACCCCACGCCAGTGGGGACTGCTTTGCTCTTGGCGTGGTTCCCGCTACCTCTCTCCCTTTGAGAGGTACAAGAGCCGAGTGTGCCTCTTGTACATTTCAAAGGGAGAGGTGCAGTGGGATAGCAAGTGCCCCCCTTATTGACTAATTGAGTAGTCAATGGAAATTCCATCGACTACCTGATTAGCTGATTAATCGAAATATAACATCCCTAGTTTGACCTTGACATGGGCCATTACTGCCATATGCGAAGTTTCTCTTCAGGTCTGGGAAACATACTGAGTGTTACAGCTAAATCATACTAATCAACACATTTTTCAACAGACCAATTTAACAGGCCTCTTCATCTTTAATGGCCCCTTGAAATGTGTTATCTACTTGTGTTCAACAATCACTTCCACCTTGTATTTAGCTGTGATGCTGAGTGCATTTCCCAGACCTGAAGAGCTCCTTGCAAGTTTAAAACCTTGTCTCTCTCACCAACAAAAATTGGTCCAATAAAGGATATTGTCTCATCTGCCTTCTCTCTCCATTTCTGGCTTGACAGTTGTCAAATTATAACACACTGATAGATGGTGGTTTTACACAGCAATACAGTACAGTATTACAATCCTACCATGTGATAAGTTGTCTGTTCAGAGTTTGAGATACAAAACTAAATTACTTTCTAAAATGAAGTGCAATGGCATGCATATATTGACTTTATATTCCTTTTTCTTCCAGTAAGTACTGTCCAGCTGGATGTGTGATTCCTTTTGCTGATATTTCTGGCACTATTCCTCATGGATACAGAGATGTAAGTCTATTTAGACAAAAACATAATGTTCATTTTAAGTTTGATATAAATTTTGCACTTTTTTAATACAAAATCTGCTATACAGGCAGTCCCCGGGTTACATGGATCCGACTTACATCGGATCCCTACTTACAAACGGGGTGAGGCAACCCCGCACTAGCTGCTTCCCCCCAGCAGACCAGGGAGAAGCGAAGCTAGCGCCCCCCCACAGCAGACCAAGGAGAAGCAGAGCGGCTTTTCTCAGCAGACACCTCAGCTTGAGAATAAAGGACTGAGGGAAGTGAGGTGTAGGAGAATAAAACTGAACTCTGGAGAAATGTTTGGCTAGAGTTTCTCCTACAATATGTACCAGTTCCGACTTACATACAAATTCAACTTAAGAACAAACCTACAGTCCCTATCTTGTACGTAACCCGGGGACTGGCTGTATATACTTGTTTTCTATCAGCTCTTTTTCTTTGGCTCTGGGAGTAGATTCTTCCTAATGTGACATGTTACTGATTTTGCTTGGCTATTTAATGGCAGGATCTCTGGACCTTGTCTCTAAGTAGTGGTTAAGCACCTCGTGCTTTTGATTATATCCTCTGTGAAATGTAGATCACTAGAATAATCTTTGGTACTTATAATTCTGTTGGTGGGCTCTCTCAAGCCTGTAACATTCAGGTTTCTGGAAAGGAGTCTAATTTCTTAATGGCATCTTCTGATTTCATGACACTGTAATGGATTTCAATGAACAGCAGTCATATTCTAGCTCTTCCTTACAGAATGGAGTTTATCATGTTCACTATACTGTACTCTGGCTACAAAAATAACTGGTTATGTAGTGTTTACTTTTGTAATGTGCATAAAAGTATCTAAGTTGTGTCTTTAAATGCTAAAAAGAGTATTCTGTGCTGTCTGTTGTCATGGATGGTGCTCTGGCAACAAATAAGTATAGTGAGCAATTATATCTTCTTATACTTTCTGCTAAAAGAAGCAGGTTACAGTAACCAGTTTTTTCCAACTAACTTTTAGAATGTGTATATACACATATTTCCCTTGCCTAGTCTAACCTAAAAGATTCTCAAGAAAATAATCATAAACTGAAAATCACTTGAATCACTTCAGTATGTAAGTTCCAGATGAAGACCTTATTCAGTCATAATGTTGTATTCCATTCACGTTCATTATACTTCTCTTTTAGAAAACAGAAAAATGCAAAGATCAACATTTCATGCCCTATAAATTAAAAAATGAATAGTGCCTATGGATAATGGGGAAACAAATACTGTAAAACTCCATTAGTCCGGCATCCAATGCTCCGGGACTCCTGATGGTCCGGCACCATCAGCAACCCGGAAGTGCTGGGGCAGCCGGACAGGCTTCCCACATTCAGCTGCTGCTGAAACTGACCAGCAGCTGGGGTGCTGCCAGGTTGGTCCTGTAGCGCTGCCCCTCGGGGCTGCGGGACCAACCCGGCAGCACCCCAGCTGCTCTTTGGGACGCCTGGGGCAGAGCAGCTGGAGGGGCGCCGGGGTGGGG